ATACACATATTATATACTTTTCATATATACATACATACGTATTTTTTATATTCTATGTTATATTACTGTACTTATTATATAAATGATCTCATACGATTTTATACTGTAATATATTATAATATACAGGGTTAGGGAGTAACGGATTACATGTAGGGCCGTTACATAATTAGGATGCAAAAAATAGTAACTGTATGCCTTTACAGTACAGAAAATAAAGACATAATTCCCAGCCCTGATATTATTGTATGTTTATATGTTATACAGTTTTAACTTTGTTACTTTACTTTACTGTACTTTTAGTTTCAGCACAACACTGGTTGTGGGTACTGTGTGTACATATACTACAGCTATATTTTATTTCTTTTTAATATACTTAAAATGTTTTACTTTTATCAGTTTATCTGCACTTATTTCTGTCTGTACAGGGCACTTAACTACACTTGTGTATGCTGTGGATGTTTCGTGTGAGTAACTGATCATCATGAAGACAATTTTACTTCCTCGGACATGATTTGCTTACAGCAGCTCTTCCCTATTATCTATCAGAACATGTTCGGGACGAGCTGTTATGTAAAATCGGCAGGGTTTAAGACAGGACAGTTTGGGAGATTGTCTCTTAAATGGTTTGCTAAGCTCCGCCCCCTTAGTTACTGTTGCTATGCATGTCAAACTCAGTGATAACAATGGCAGAGTTACTATTAAAATTCAGAGTAATTTGCTTCTCATTTCCAGTCGCTGACTTCTGATTCTATCTGCTATAATGACAAGTGCTGTTGTCAGATTTTATCAATTATTAATTATTAATTTTCCTCAATAAAAATTTTACAAATGCCCAATAACGTTTGATTTAATTCATTTGAATCACAAAATCATAAAATTTTTATATCAAGATATTAATTTTGTTGAGAAAAGGGGACTAAAATGTTCTTCCTCAGATTTGTTTAAGTGATCCACTGTTTGGCATAAAGTTTTTGTTCTGACCATAAAGAAAAGAACCAGAATTAACCATCTGGTTTCATCAACTTTCACTCAGGAGAAGAAATCTGCCTTTAAACTTGAAAGAAATAATAATTTGACATTTATCATGATAATTATCTATATTGAATGATGTGAAAATTTTTATCGTGATAACTTTTTTGGCCATATCGCCCAGCCCTAAAAAGACATATAGACCGCTATTTCATTTTAACATCTCCCTGTTTGGCTGCTTGGCTTTACATACTTGGAGAGGGTACGTTTTCAGTTTTAACATTACGTTAAGAGAAAAAGCTTTAAGGACACCGAACAGTCATAAAGTTATGGCTGATCGGTGTAAAAAGACCAGTGTGTCAACTGTGTTAAAAATAAAAAGGAAGAAAAAAGAAAGTGAATTCAGCCAACTGAAAATGAACTTGGAAACAAAGTGATCTATTTAAAAATATATTGTATTCTTTCAGTAAAGACAAAATACTTTATTTAGTATAGTTACAAATGGAGAAAATGGATCAGAGGCTTGACTAGATTAAGTCACAACTTTTATTTGACTGCTGAAAACATTCTGACTTTAGCTTTGCTCAACACAGCGTCACAGTCTCAATTATCCATTGATTTTAAGGGGGTTAAAGAGAAATTTTAGCGAGTCATTTTATGTTTCAGTGTGTCATTAGTCTGACAGCGTGGCCTAGATCAGAATCTGCCCCGGAGGTGTGTGTCTCTATGAGAGTGCATGGTGATTGTTAGCCCATAATCCCTTTTCACAATGAAATGTACTGTGGCATTCAAGTCTCAATGACGAGTGCTTTGACAGAGGAATCTGACCCCAGATGTTATCAAATCAGCAATTCTCCACTTACACACCAGCAGAAGACACACACAGACACCAGTGTTTGCATACTGGAAAACAAAGACATGCGCTGTCTGTGACTAAAAGGGCAATGTGTTCAGATTATCTTCAAACTATGAACAGTGTGTTCTGTCTCAGGACATTCAGGACACTGGTAACTTGTTGATGCATGCCACATTCATCCTCATGCCAACTTGGATTCGGGTGGGGGGTTGCTTATATAGATATTCAATTTATATTGATATAAAAACAGAGAAAAGCAGTAAATCATCACATTTGAGAAGATGTTTTAGCTCCAATTCTAAGGAAATTAAATCTTGGATTTAAGAATCTCTAAAGATTAGGGCTGAAATTTATTTTCATTAGATTAGTGCTTATTTTGTCAATGGTTTGGTCCATTTGCTTAAAAAATTGTTTACCAAAATAGTTGCAGATAAATTTTCTTCGACTAATGGATTAACCGGCTAATCGGATCCACTCTAGTTCACACTGTGGTCAAAGTGTAATTTTTGAATATTTATTTAGGTATGTGTGAAATAATCTGAAATCATCTAAAATCATCTAAAGGTTCACTATTTAAAGGAACCTTTTTGTAAAACTGTTTTTAGCCTTTGAGAAAGTTTTCTGCTATAATAAAGTACAAACAGACCATTTAGTGGCTCTACCCTGCAATAGCCTAAACTAAAATTAAAATTTATTATAAAATGTACATTCTCAAGACTGGAACTGATTGTGGTTTTACTTTAAGGGCTCCTGGTATGTGATATAATCTCAAACAATTTAACCATCCTTTATAACCCGCTTTTATGCAGTTGCTGTTGTTCTAACCTCGATTTCAAGTTGTTCCTGTTAACAAATATTAATTTTTTTCCTTCTAATACACATTAGGGCTGCAATTTATGATTATTTTTGTTATAAATGAATGTGTGGTCTATAAAAGATTAGAAAACAGTGACCGAATGTCTTGTTTTGTCCGAACAACAGTCAAAAACCCAATAATATTCAATTTACTATAAGACCAAGACAATAATCAAATTCTCAAATTTGAGAACCAAGAACTATTAAATTTGACTCAAAAGATTAGTCAATTATCAAAATAATTACTCATTACTTTTCTGTTGACTAACTGATTGATGGACCAATCAATGCAGCCCTATTACAAACTATATTTTCCAATCAATGCCGTCCTATAAAGTGCTCTTCACACACTTATAAGCTATATTAATTCATGTTACCATTATCCTGAATATGAAGAATAACGAAAAAACAAACAAACAAAAAAATCAACCAGAGTTTCACAGCACGGACAGTCTGTGCTTGCTAGACACAAGAAAAATAACCCTGCATTACTAACTTAGTGTGACTCAGGGCTGGTCATGAGCTGTGAACATCCTCCAAACTCTGTTAGTCCCTCTCCTTCCCACATGCTCCCTCGCCCAATCTGACCCAGTGCCACTGTCTGCTGACCCACTCGCAGAGGGAAGCAGCAGGGCCTCGGGAAGGCACAACCCTCCACAGCCATATTTTCCAGCGGGCTCAGAGCTTTCAGTAGCAGACAGACGAGTGTGTGTTTTTGTGCAAAGAACATATTCAATATTTATTCCCTTCAAAATTTCTCAAGATACAGTGATGCACTGACAGCTGAAGCCTTGCATCTTTTCATTGCCTTTAAATTGGGTGTAATAAGATAAAAAGAGAAAGTTACAGTACGTCCTTTCCCTTTTCAAATCACTTGGAAAATATAATAAGACCAATAAGGGAAGAAGTTAGGAAAAGACAAATGGACAATGGTGCAAATAAATCTCAATGTAGTTGGCGCAAATCTACAAAATGTTCATGCCACGTTGTCTGAGAACCTTAACTGTGTGTCATGTTTGAAATTAGGGCAGCAACTACCGATTACAACATTTTCTATTAACCTAAGTTTTATTTTCTTAATTAGTCATTTGTTTGATAGAATGTCTGCAAAGTAAATTATCCAGGTTATACAGAAGCCTAGTCCTACTGTCAGCCAATAAAATTAAAAACTAAACTAGAACTAACCACTAATATCTCCAACCTCGTTATACCTAAATTCCTGTGACAGACGTCATTCACTGTGCTCTCAAAATATTTCTGTTTCTAGTGACAAAACATACTTGCATCAAGTTGAACTCTGGCCTACTGGCCTGAGCAGTGAAGTAGAAAATATTGCCTGGACGCTGTTTTATTCAGAAGTGCCGAGTTTGAGGAGGACATCATGTTTACAACCATCTATTATGCAAGAACAGAAGCCCTGGTACTTGTTGGAAACAGCTAAATCTGACTTGTTAATTAAGGAGTAAGTGCACACATAGGACAAGCTCTCTTTCTGTGTCTGAAGAACCGGATCGTTGACTGGATTATAACCATTGGCCTTGAGAATTACAGAGGATGTGCTTTGCATTAGGTTTGTAAGCAGTTCACGCCCCTTCTGACCCTACCCTACCCCCCACCCCCACCCCCCCACCCCCCACCACAATATCACAACAAACCAATCTGATGCTACATCATCTGCTGTCATCTGAAGTAAGAACTAGGTCGCAGTTATCAGGAGAATCACCATACATCTGCAGGTTCAGCCACATGCATTACACTAGCCAAGTGCAGGAAAGATCATTATTGTTTTGGCAGCACCACAAAATAAAGAATTACACAATTAATCTACATTTTCTCAAGAAAGAGAGAAAAAAACAAAACAATAATGCATATGTATTACTTTCCCAGACATACTTTTTCAAATCACATTGTACCTAAATATGCAATGTGTGAGCTCTGACCTGCTCTCTGCCATCATGAACAGTAGGCTACTTCATTACAGCCTAATCTTTTGGCTCCAGTAATCTCAAATGTGAGTGGATATAATGATGGGACTTCTATCAGCAGTGTGTGGTTTGGTAGTGTATCTCTGGGGCTGTTTGCTACGGGCCATGCATTTCTGTTAGTGTCTGAGAAGCGGTACTTCACACAGAGTTAGCCATGGGTGGCTACAGGAGCTAGCAGTGTTTGCCAGACTGGCAGCTGACACTTTTGGTGCTGAAATCTGCTTAAGGGGAAGCTCAAATCTAAATAACAAAGTCAGTCCTACTCTGGACACGTAGAGTGAGACCTGTAGCATGATATTTCATCGTTACTGCAAGTTAACTATCGAACAACATACCCCATTTTTGCTGGATTTTGGAGGCTTGGGTTTAGTCGAAACTGGTCCTGCTGTCTGTGGTCTCTTGAGGGCGGTGTGAACAGGCTTTTCAGTGGGGACTAGCTTCAGCTCTTGATCCGCTCTCTCTCCAAACTAAAGCCGCTGTGGTTGTTGCGACTTCACGGTCGGCGGAGCCACGGTGCTGTATTCAGTCCGACATGTCTTCGTGGTGGTGTTGTTGTTATGCCCTTGAGTACATTTTGGTGGGGTGTTGGTTTCATCCGAGCAAACGTGTTGGCGCATGCATGATGATGATGATGATGATGATGAAGAGCAAGAACTCACAGCAGCACTGACTGCCAGTTAGTAGGAGCGACCGTTAGCAGCCGTTAAACAAAACTCCTCCAGTTAACACACAAACGAGGATTAACTAGCTAACGTTAAACTGACTGACAGGAAAGGCAGTGTCACTTCTAACTAAAGTAAGCTTTTAAATACAAAAGGGGGGAAAAAATAAATAAAAGAGACAAACAAAATTGTTGTCTAACCTGTCAAATAACGTTAAGCTAGCTTCATCTGTCCGATGCTAGCTTGCTGATTAACAGTTAACGTTACTCCTTTGGTTGGACACTGTGAGATTTGAGCAACGGTGGACACACTAATACTTGTACAGATATTTATCCTCAGCCGAAAAAAACCTTAAGATCCGAACCCTCAATCTCAATAAGCCGACTGTTCATAAATCCCAGTTTCAATCGCTGGGTCTTTCTCGCCGTCCGCTGTGCCATTAAATCCCTTTAACCGAGTGTTTTTCACCGCCGCAAGTTAAGACCTTCAACGCCCCATGGAGACGGTAAGCATCTTCTTTCAAGAAGAAGCTGTTTCTGGAGAAAAAGACAAAATACACTTGGTGCAAACACTCCAGTCTTTAACATCCTCCTCCTCCTCCTCAAAGACAGCGATGTCAACCAAAAAATAATTATATAGACTACAAACGGACGCGCCGTCACTCCTCAACAAGCTGGTTTCCTGTCTTACTGCTCACTTGTAATTTAGCCAAAACGTTCAACTGCTCTTCAAATCATGTCCAAAATATAATGCTGGTGCTCCATCCGCCGATTCGTCCTCCTCTCTTTCAGCCCCGCATCTTCATTCATTTGCTCGGCAGCATCCTCCCTGCCGCTGCTGCTCAGAGGGGACCATTTATATGATGACGTCATCACGCCGCCCCTGAAATTTGACGTACTTGGCAATAAAGTATTTCCTCACATCCGGTGTGTTCAATAATCAAAGTTGTATATTTTGCAGTATAAAAACCATAAAAATGGTCAGAGAAGAAGTACTCAGATTAGTCTCTAAAGTAAAAATAGCAATACCACAGTGTAGAAATACTCTTTTACATGTCTTGTATTCAAAGCTGTACTTACAAATATATGTTACTTAAAATATAAGTACTCATTAAGCTGGAAAAATGACCCTTCTGAGTGTAATATTTTATAACTCTGCAAACAGCATTTTAATGTTGTAGTTGGACAAGTTGGACTTCTTTATACTAATTGTTTAATCAATAACAATGCACAATATCTTCTGATTAAGTTGAATTTAAGCTGATCTTTTACTGTACTAATACTAATTTCTACTTACTAATCTCAATATATAAATGTAACTTGTTAAACAAATGTATAACGTACAATATTTCCCTTTGAAATGTAGTATAAGTAGAAGAACAAACTAGTAAAAAAAAAAAAAAAGGAGGAATACTCAAGTGAAGTCCAAGGATTGTAAATGGTACTTAATTACAGCATTTGTAACTAAATGTACTTAGTTTCCACTACTGGATATAACTTACTTGCTTACTTGGATGGTTCAAAATGGCAAGAACATACTTTACTCAGGGTAAAATACACACGCACTAGTATCAAAATATATGTACCAAAAGTCAAAGTCAAAGTATTTATGCATTCATGTGTACATCACTCTAATGTTGCAGCCGGTTAAGGTGGAGCTTATTTTACTTTATATACATTTTATTTGTTGATTATATTTTGTATAATCTTGAAATTGTAAAGTATGGCTGTCAGATAAATATATTGGAGAATCTAGTACAATGTGTCCCTCTGAAATGTAGTGGAGTAAAGTATGAAGTAGCACAAAACAGAAAAACTCAAGTACCTCAAAATTGTATTTAAGTACAATATTTGAGAAAATGTACATAGTTACTTTCCACCACTACTCCTGAGCTAAGACTCAGGGTGGGTTCAGGTTGAGTGGGATGGATGCTTGAACAGTTTGTCATGTAAGAGCTGATAACCTGTGGTGGAAGTAGTATTCACATCCTTTACTTAAGTAAAAGTACTAATACCACACTGTAAATATTCTCAATTACTGGAAAAAGTCCTCCATTAAAAATGTGCAGTCAGAAAATGCCTATGATCTCTGATGTTTATAATTAATTTAATTTCCGTGTAGGCGTGTTGATAAAGACCTTCCTAAATGGAAAAAATGGAGATTTTACTTTGACCGGAAAAAAACATAATGATCTATAACTGTCCCACTTGACTACCTGAAGTCAAACCGTTTAATATCATAGAGGACAACAGATTTATTGCTCAGGTATTACATATCATTATTTTCTTTCAAAATGTGCAAACTAAAAATCAGAGTCAGTTTAGCACAACATGCAGGAACACATTATGTGCTACTGATGATTGCCATCTTGTGGACAGTTATTGACATAGCAATACTGAAAGTGCAGAAACACCAAAGAATAGAAATACTTCATGACAATTGAAAGTCTTGCGTTCACAATTGTACTTTAGTAAACGTACAGTATATAATAGGAAAACACTGACAGAGACATTTTGCTGTTGATATTTGATACTTGATAAGTAATTAGCGCTGATAATATTTGCATACTTTTACAGTAAGATTTTAAATGCAGGGCTTTTGCATGTAATTGAGTATTTTCTGACGTGGCGAAATTACACTCTTGTATAGGTTTTGATTTCTGCAATACAAATGATTAAAGTTATGTGAGAAAAATATTATTTGGTAGCCTATAGGGGGAAAGTTCACTACATGGGGAAATGATACGATACGAACCTAATCTCTTAAAGTTTTTAGTTTAGCTTTCTGTAAATGTTCTGCTAAGAGAAACACAGTTGTCCATAGCTGGGACATTTTGGCAGAAGGCAAACAACTGTTTGGCATAAGAACAAACCCCATGGGTAAACACGTGATGGGAAACCGCTAGGTCAGACCGACTGTATGAACTTTTGTTCAGAACAACAAAATTCCTTGGGTTTAAGCCAAGTGAAAGAGAGATCTAAATCCTTAAAAACACACGTACGAAAGTCTGGTATTATCGTTTCAATAGGTGATAAAGAAGTGTAGCTATAATAGTCTACAACTTTTTTAGACTGCAGTTTTTGTCCTTTTAAGGAATTAAGAGGAAAGTTTGTTTTATGTGAGTTTGTGTCTACGTGGACTCTGGGTTTTCACCAGGACATATTAGCAACTGAAGAGGGTGTTGCCCTTCAGACATTATTCCTGAAGGCGGAGGGAAAACGTCTCCGGCAAATTTCGGTCAGTTATCTCTCCTTTTAAATTCTAAGCAAATACCAAAATACTTTTGAATATTGATTTAGTCTAAATTCTTAAGATTCACTAAGTTTGTGTAACTTTTAACCAATTCGAGTGGCTCTGGGACTCCTGAGTAATCACCAGGATTCTGACAAGGAGGATAAACTCCCTCCTTTAATTTGATCGGACTAATTTAAGTTATCTCCACTTCTGTTTTTCATTCTATTTTTAGTATTTTCTTTAATAACATTTATGTAATCGCAATATAAACTGTCACATTTTTTATATATATATGTGCACCTAGGCTATGTTTAATAAAATAATTGAAAATTAAGAAGCTGGTGAAGACGGTAAAGTCCTACCGGGAAAATTAAATAATCCAAATTTTAAATAAAACAAGAGAGAAACGGACAACTTTGCCGTGTGTGACTGAAAAACAGCAGCTTTGCGTCTGTGTGTGTGACTGCGCATGCGTGCTTGACGTTTAACTAAATTGTGTGGAAGATCTAAAGCTAGACCTGCAGGCTGTCTGAGGACTTATTGGCTGCAAGAGAGAGTAACAGCATATTAATTGCAATGAATGAAAGAATAAATAAATGCAAAAATAATGTAAGAGCTGAGAATTAAAGACCACTGTGTTATTTTGCCTGCGAACACTAAATTGTTTAGTAGGACGATATTTTCGCAGAGTACTTGTAAGGTACGGTTTCTTTCAAAAAGACACCGTCATAACGAGACGCTTTATTGGGTTTTACTAAGTAGCGACTTTGCAGAGCTCAGAAGTCGTGGACAGTGGCTGAAATAGCGTTTCGTCTAGTAAATAAAATAATATAGGCTTGTGCCTGAGTTAAAGGGAATTTGAGGGATAGGAATCGTATTTGCATAGACTGTATACATGCGACAGTCGCCCAAAAATGTGCAAACAGTGACAAAGACGTATTGTATTACATAGCCTAAAGAACATAGGCTAAAGAATATAAATAAAGTAAAAACTAGGAGGTGTTTTTGAAAAGTATATCAGTATATGTATGATCTTGTTTTGTGTGTGATAAATATTTAAAAGTATTGGAAATCTAGGCTGATGTACGGTTTTGGTTCTTGCTGAGTTGTGAGAAGCAACGTTGTTTGTCGAAGTAAAATACATGTTCTTTAGTTTGGCTGGCTGATAATTTGCTATAGCTTTGGAATACACGTGAAAGGAATCGTGGTGCGTTCAGTGCGCGTTGTAATTTCTGTGCAAACTGTTAAATGTGATGCTGTCATTTTGTTCTTGTGTTTTGATTGCTTAGGGACCAAATACAGATCAAATACATTTGAACCCTTTTAAGATTACACTTTTATGACAAGTTCTGGAAGTTCACTTTCAAACCTTTTAAGATTTTGAGGTTTCATCTGGAAGTGATTCAAAGGTAGACTGGACTTAAACTGAAACATCAAACTACTGAGGCAAAAACTTTATACAAAAGGCTCTGTTCTAACTGGACTGTGAGCCCAAGCAGAGCCCCCTACAGGAAATATTGAGTAAATGTTTCAATTTGATCTCAGTCTTTATTCAGTGTTTTCCTGTCTTAAGCAGTCTTGGCAGGAGTGAGTGTTGCTGAGAGAAACTAAGAGACTTAAGGCCCACGAGCCAGGACTCGACCGAAGCATTGAACACCTGACACTGGGAAAATAATTGACAGTTTCCCTGCAGGTTTAATTTTACACATTTTTACACATTTCTTGGATTAGTTGTTTAATTTAAATACAAAACAAAAAAAGAGATTGATTTGAGTGTTTCTCTCCTCAATCTCTGATTTAAAGGACAGCAGAGTCATTCAAGGCAATAGTATAAATTCATATTTCTGGTCTTTGTTTTCGATCAGTGATCGGCAGACAGAGAATTTAAAGAGATAGATAGATAGAAGAGTCGTTTATCCGATTTTAAAAAGGAAATTAAATTTTCTGCCTGGAGTTTGACAACCAAGGAGTCAGGATGGCTGCTCCGTGTCTGAGCACAGCAGAGGACGTTTTGGCAAAACAGCATCCATTGCTGGCACAAATGATAAAGAAACTCTCGCAGAAGTGGGAAAAGAGGACCCGTAACATGTCGACCAAGTGGCCAGAGGGAGGAACGTTTGATTTAGAGACTTGCAGGGATATGCAGGTTTTAATTAAGAACTACAAGCTAAATCAGAAAGGTCCGATAAGAGCCCAAAAGAGAAAGGAAGAGGAAAACATTCTAGGTTTGTTTAGGAAGAAAGGTGAGATGCTAAGAACAGCCACTAGGGAACATGAAAAAGATTCATTAGAAGAGGCCAAGGTCACAGCAGCACCATCACCACCTTATGTGCAAGAGCTCCCTGTATACAAGAAATTAAGCATTGAAGGAGACAATAACCTAGAGGGTGATGACATTCCCCTAACTGAGCTTAGAGGAGGGGAAGCGTACCCAGATTTGAGTAAGCTTGATATAAAAGGAGGACTTAGTGGATTTAGGACACCTATAAGGGAAATGCTAAAGAATGTAGAGAGAGAGGAAAGGATGGCTAGAGGAGAGGAACATGAGGAGGATGAGGAAGAAGTTACATTTGAGGATAGCATAGACAGGGACTATGAGAAAGGTGAATTAAGCCCAGCTGAGAGTAGGGTAGTAAGGTTAAAGAAGAGCACAGCAGCAGCAGAGAAGGAATCCACAGAGAAGCATGCCACTGCTCAAGCCTCAGATCCCCCATATGTCTGCAACAGAAGAGTAAACGAAGAAGGGTCCAGCATACAGGGCGTGGAAAAAGGAGGAAAATCTGAAGATCAGGCACAGGGGATAATGCTTGCTGTTGGAGATGTGAAAGCCCTGCTTACACGAGTGCTTGAACTAGAAGAGAGGCAGGAGGTGTTGAAGGACACACTCCAACGGAGGTATCCGACACAGATAACTCATGAAACACTCCTCTGGAGTCCCCTTAAAGATGACGAAAGCCCTGTTTCATATGTCCGTACAAAATGCCGAGAATGGAGACAGGAGTTTGGAGTAAACCCTGAAGACAATCCTTTACTTCAGGAAAAGTTCCGGGAGAGTGTTTTGAAAGGTCTTCCAACTCCGGTGAAGAAAAAGCTGAAGAAGGTTGTGACTCTGTATTCAATGACATTTCATGAGTTCTGCGACCATGTTGCTCACGCCGTCTGCAGACACAGAGAATCGCAAAGGGAGCAGGAGGAAAAAGACAAAGAGGCACTCCGCAAACTGACTCAACAGCAGCTGACTGCAGGAAAGAAAAAACTAGAGGGAGGAGTGGGTGCTTCAAGACTCAGCAGCAAGGAGAGCCAAGAGAGAGCGTCGTTTCAAGAGGCGCTTCAAGTCCTGATAGACAAGCAGAAGCAGATATGGGGGCAACTGTCTGCACCTTGGGGCTATCAAGCCATGGCATCCTGGCCAGAAGCAGAAAACAACTTTGGGCCACGTCCCCTACCTCGTCCTCAGTATATGGGGAGAGGGAGAGGAGGACCATCTGGACTGCAAAGAGGACGGGGACAAAGGGGAGGTAGGGGACTTCCTACCGTACCTCCCCAATCTCTGCCATACTACCCAAGAAGGTGTTGGGGCTGCGGACGTGAAAATCATTTAAGAAACGCATGTCCCACAAATCCGTGGCAAGATAACAGACTGCCAAGAGGTCAGAGGCCATCTCCGCGAGGATCAGTAGTCATCTAGAGAGGCCCAGCAGAAAGATTTTGACGGGGCATAGAGCCATCAAAGCCTGTCATCCTTTAGCTACAAAACTGACAAGCTCATCTCCCTTTGTTGATACCAGACCAGACGTCTGTGAGTCTAATTGGACGATATGGACAAATTGAAATGTGCAATATGTTGCCCACCAGACAGCATCCTGATTTATAAAAGCCCAGACTCCCTAATTAACTCAAGTGCCAGATCATCTGTGGTCAAAACATTAGACCAATCTTGGACTGATAAAATCAGCACAACCAGTGGACTTTAAGCTGAAACCAGGCTGCAAACCACTGTTGATTCCAAAACATCCACGGAAGCCTGAGGCTGAAAAAGGAAGTGAAAGGACAATACCTGAATGGCTGGAAGCAGGAGTATTGACCCGCATTGTTTCACATGGCAACACCCTGATTCATCCTGTGCTGAAAGCAGATAAGTCAAAATACCAGCTAGTAAAATAGAGAGCAATAAATGAAGAAATTTAGGATATTGACGCAGAAGTTCCAAATCCATATATGCTATATATATATATCAAACATTCCCCCCACTGTCACGTATTTTATGGTAATTGATCTGTTTGACATTTTTTCTGTGTTCTAATCAGCAAGAGATCACAATATCTCTTTGGGTCAAAGTTTATCGGTCCCAGGCGCTTTCCATAAAGGCTTAAAGCATGCGCCACATATTTTTAATAAGACTCTGAAGAAAGATTTATCCGAGCTGGGCAAAAAGGTGTCCAGCACCGTTATTCGGTGTGTAAATGACATTCTCGACTGTTCTGAGACGCAAGAGAAGTGCCACAAAGACTCTATTGCACTGTTAAAGATACTGGCAGAAAAGGGGCCACTAGGCCTCAAAACAAAAGATCCAGTATTGCTAGGACAAGGTTGAATACCTGGAACGTGTCACACAAAATGGCACGAGAAGCGTGTCCCCATCACACCTTGAGGGGATAAGCAAAGCTCCTAAACCGGTAGTTGTTCGAAACATGCTGACATTTTTGGGGTAACAACAAGTTGTAGTTCAGACTGGGTTAAGGAGTATACTGTTATGTTGACACAGGAGGGAGAGATAGCATTTGAGACAATCAAAGAAATGCTTCAACGAGCCCCTGTTCTTGCGCTTCCAAATTATTACAAAGCATTTTTTCTCTATGTTTTAGCCCCGGTTGATTTGATGTCATTAATGATTTTGCAAGCCCAGTATTGATCATACAAGCTGAGGAATATAACTGAATGGGGTTTTTAAGTAACAAACAGAGAGAGCAAATTGACTTTGGCAAGATGCATTAAAAATAATGTTAAAAAAGGTGTGGTTACACCTATGGGCCACATGCCAGTCCCTAAGCAACCATTTCAGCATTTAGCGATAGTCTATGTTGACATGATTAAGCCAATAAATGACAGACGTTCATTGAAGACGTTCAACGTTTTGGCTGTGTTTATTATCCACAATCTCAACGGATGGTTGAACGAGTAAACTAACAAAGATTTGTGGTCATTATAGGCTTAACTGGGTGAATGCATTTCCATTAGCACTTCTGGCATAAAGAAGTGGTGTGAATCGCAAAACTAACCCAACACCGCATGAGCTTGCTACTGGTCACGAGCTAAAGCATCTGCATAAAGGCCCGCCTTCAAGCATGCTACAGAATTACAAAAGATGTACATACAACAAATGTCTAACAATTGCCGGATAGTTTCGTCCCACCTTGTGACTAAGCAGGGAAGAGAGAGGTTACAGAACGAGAGTGAGCGAGTGGGGGCAGCAATCCAACCTGGTGATCAGATGTTTTCATAAGAGTCTTCAGGAGAAAAGTGGAACGGCCCGAGGAAGGACGTACGAGGTCAAGGGGTCGCCTACCTGGTCTCAAATAAAAACAAATTTTCTCCTTAGAGTCATTAAAAATCATTTGAGCAATACATGAAGACTGATTTAAAAGTGTCCTCCACTCCCAGAGCCATCACCATTATGAAGGCATGAGAAGTTTTTTTAAAGAAATATTTTGTGTTTCATTTAATCCATGTACATAATCATTTAAGACAAAACTGTAAGACAAAACAACAAAAACAAAAACGTTTACTAACTTTACCATTTTGAAGATTCTGTTCTTAAGAGTTTTATATGTAGAAGTGTTTGTTTTCTTTAAAGGTCATAAGTATCTAGTATGAGGGCATAAAGGGAATTCAAAAAGTATATGGTAAAAGGTTTGATTGTAGAAGTAGAAGTATATACACGTGAAGCATTTTGTTGATTATGTGAAAGAGATTCCCAATACATAGCCTATGGTACTACTGTAAGGAGTGAACACCTTGTATGTTTAATAAAATCATTGAAAATTAAGAAGCAGACCATTGATTCCTTGCCTCTCCTTTGGTGTAAGGGACAACAAAAAGCACCTACATTACTACTATTATATTAATATACTATTTTCAGCCTCTCAAATATATGACGATTTGTAATAAATAAGCTGAATATTCAAAAACATTGGTATAGTCCTTGAAGAAGAAAGCTTGTGTTTAATACTGCTACATTTTTAGCCTATTGGGTAAGTTTAAGATTTACAGAATGTATGCCAGACTAATTTACACATGATGGCAACGTTTGCCCAGAAACAACCTGTTCACTATGAGCAAAACCCTCCCCAACTCCTCCAGTCTTTCACTTCCCACGTAGTATCCCTGTCACACTACGAGACAGACATTAACAGGTGCGAGGTTGACATTTTCATAAAAGGATCAAGGGGCAAGAAAAGCTCATTTTGTTTTAGAAGTAGCCCATAAATATGTTATTATCCATTCCTTGTAAATAAAAGGTGTTTGTACATAAAAAGTGTATATAGTGTGCACATAACTCTTATTCTTGTCTTTCTATTTCTTTTATATTTTTTATTATTCTACTCTATTTTAAATGAATGTATATTTTCTAATCTGTTCTATCTTGTGCTGTTGTAAGTGAATTTACCCAGAGTGGGATCATAAATCTTATCTTATCACAGTCTTAAAGCTTAATACAGGATTTGTTTGATCCATTATCAGCTGTTTACAAATAAAAACCCCTTCAACATACTTATAAGCCTATGACAGACTTACAGACTCATGACACTGGATATAGGCTACTAGCAAAACATTATTTTTAGACCTAGCAAAAAAAACATAAAGCAAAGGGATTTACTTCATGCTGCTGCATTTCTTACAGTTTAAATGTCCACAGGCTACAACTAATTAGCCTAAACTATTATAATAATAATAATTATTGTATATGCCAAATGCAAGGGTTCAGCCCGTGTGAACAGATGACAAAACAACCTCCTTACATGTTGCAAATGCTTCACATGAAACACAGGAAGACCAGTTTTCTATTTCAAGATTACGCTGAGCTTGAGAACTCTACTCAAGGAACGCTCGCTTGAACTTGCTCAACAGAGCAGCGCTGAGTTGTGGTGAGAGGCCGAAGCAAATTTATCAAGATATTACAACAATGGATCCAGAAGATTTGGCACGGTCAGATGTGGACACTGAGATGACAGTGTTGACACCTGAAGATATCAGTGAAGAAAACCCAGAAGACAGTGATGATGTGGAGAACCTTCGAAACAGGTAAATCAGAGGCTGTGTTTAATATTGTATTCTGGACTTATTACTGCAGCTCAAAGTCAAATGTTTTCTGCGTAATGAAGTTTGCTTTATATATTTTTTCATTTTCAACAAATCCCAGAGGCAACAGTTTATTGTACAATAATAAATTGGATCCATTTACATATATATATAAATGGTGAATTAATGAAGGACAGTCATTTAGTCCAACTAATCTTTGTGTGTGTGTGTGTGTTTATATGTTTGAGTGCATGTATAGACACTCAGTTGTCAGTTTATTAGGTTCACCAAGCAATTTGCAACACAACAGTTCTGCAATAAATCCTCGTATCCCCTGGATTTTACGTTATACTTTTCTAACATTTTGTCAAAGTGAGGTCCGGGGAACTCCCATCTAGGTGCCATTAATAAACTGGCAACTGAGTGTGTGAACAGTTGTGAATATCAAGGTTTCGAGAAAAACAAAATCATAAAGTACATATATTTCTTACACATATTACATTATGTAATATAACATGTGAGATTTTTACATTGTTTTGCACAGAGAATAAACTACTACATGACCATTTTACAAAAGTCTTCACAAAATATTTTCTAATATACTCAATTTCTCTTAAAATATAATTCTGTTATTCGACTCTCGTCCTCTTTGGCTGACTTGATTAGCTTAGCTTGACCAGACTGTTGTGCCTACAAACACAGCAGAACAGGCAGCATTCTCTAGGGATTTGGCGGCGTCAGTGAGGCTGATGATCAAATCTCAGCTACTAATGAACAGGTGACATTCATCAGGCTGAAACGAGCGATTTCAGACATGTTTGTGCAGTTAGGAGGGTTTGGTAAATCTGACATGGAATGCTTTATGAGCAAACCTTACAGAAGAAAATATAGGAGAGGATAAGAATACAAAAACGTTCACACATGAAGCACAAAGGGCACATTTAGAGCACAAATTATGGCTTAAATTAGCTTCTCAGTACTGACACCTAGATCGGTTTTGTGTAGTTTTATCTTATTGCCATATTATTTCTCTGTCACTGTGCCGTCAGTTTACGTGAGGCTGTCCACGATGACAACGTCCGGCCTAAGATGCAGTGCCTCATGATGGACTCTTCCTTCTCCATGGTAACTATGCAAGGCGAGGACAGCGGGATCGCATGGGAGACGACCCCTAGTCGCTGCACCACGCCATGGGCAGCCGAAGCTGGAAACGCTGTGGATCTTAGCTCTCTGGTTGCAGGACGGCCTGCGACACCTGGGTCTGTTCCTGCAGGAAAGATCATCTTTGTCATGGATGAGGAGCTGATTTCAAGACGGAAGAAAACTAAAGAGAGGGTAAGCAGTCAGAAGAGCAGAGCAGACAGACAACGAGAAGTTCTTGTAGGAAGTTCTGAAAACATCTCAGGAAGGCCGGAGTTAGTAGGATTCTCACAGCCGAATGTGAAAACCGAAGGAGAAGGAGACGAAGAGGAAGCAAATGATCCTCTGGAAGATAAAGAGCAACAGCTTTTCAGATTAGTGTCTGAAGGCTCTGAAATCCTCAACATTGTTGTTCCTCCAAAACTGGCTACTGTGGATGAAGAGGAGAGCAAAGAAATGGTGGACAACCTTTCTTATCTGGAGGACAGCCTTGTTCCTAAAGCCTCTGAAGACTCTCATGATTACGAGCTGGTTACAGGAGCAGTAGGAGGTTATCAGGTCAAGTCCTCACCTGCAACAGGTCCAAATGTAATGGATCCACCAGGGGCTCCAGTGGCCAGACCTCCAGGCAGAGGAGCCCGTGCCAATGCGGACTACTTTGAGGCGTTCACCATGATTGATGGCCAGGCTCCAGGAAGTCCTGCTGTGATCGCACAGGGACAGGTGGAACAAGAGGTCGTCACTGGGAGCCAAGACACAGAGAGTTATGTGCACTCTAAAGACGACACCACCACCACAACAACAACAGTAGCAGCAGCATCAACAACCTTCGTGGATAATGAATCAGACACAATCAGTCTTGAGGAAATCACCAGTGAGCTCCTAGATGAAGTCTTCTACGGTGGTACAGACAACTACATGAAAAGTCTAGACAGAGAGGACGGAGTGGCTGAAGGTGCGCCCTCTAGGCTGCCTTCAAAAACGAGTGGTTCGACTTTGTTTGGAAGCCAAGAGGACATCCTGACTCCAATCTTTCTACCAGAAGGACCTGCCAAAATTATAGACCCCATTTTGCTGGAGGAGCCCAAAGCCATGGCTTTCCTTTACACGGACCTGTATGAGGAATCAATCGGCAGTCGGAAAAAAGAAGAGGACACAGAAAGTATGACCTCTGAGAAGTCCTTCCACAGCAGGTATTCAGACCGGGAGGCCAGAGGATATTTAGAGAAATATGCCCTTATAGATGAGACTCCTGCTGTGGAAGAGGAACTAACTGATAAAGAAAAATGCCCAGAGGAAGGTCCTCGGGTAATGTCCCAAGATTTGTATGAATTGGTCAATTTGCTGTCAGAGCCTGAAAAAGGTGAAGAGCCAAATTCAGAGGAGGAAATCACAGACTTCTTCAGGTCCAGTGCCAACGCTTCTCCATGTGATATAGAGCCTCTCTCTCGATATCTCGAAGAGGATGAAACCCAATCAACTACACAGAGTAAAGACGAGACAAACAAAAATGTCTCCTTCAAGGTAGAAAAAGTCGATGTAGATCCACTTAGCATCTCAAGCTTTGAGTTTCCCTCGGAGGAACCTGAGTGGGGGAGTACAGATGATCATCTTACAGACCTGGACGAGAAAGATGTCAGTGTGCATCCAGCTCAGGAATTTCAGAAACAAGATTCGGAAATGCAAAAGCCAGTTGCCCCTCCCAGGAAAAAGGCAACCTCTTCTCCTAAGGCATCACTGGACTTAACACCTCTGACTCCAGTTGATGTTATTATACAGGAAAAAGAAGAGGCTTGTGGAAAGGAACAGAGGGAGGAGGAGAAAGAGACGGCATCACCAACAGAGACTGCCGACGAAGAAGACGGAGAAGGAGAGGAAACGATGCAGGCCTCCTGCAATGTTGCTGTATCCGAGAACATGTTGGCTGCAGTGGAGTCCCCTGAAAATGTAAAAGATAACAACAAAATAACTGTTGGGAACACAGAACCAGCTGCAGCTGAGGAGAAAGACACTGAAACAGTAGAAGAGGAAAAAAGTGAGACTGAAGCAGCTACAAAACAAACTGAACCAGAAGAGGCGGATACTAGGTCATCAGAACTGGCTAAAAAAGAGGTTTATCCAGATTGTTCAACTGCTGTACCAAGTGAGCCAGCTAAAGACAAAGGACAGTGTATAATACTTTAACTGACCTACAGTATTTTCAACAGATTTAATGCCAAGTGCCTTGCTCATGTGTCTTTAGTCAAGGCCTTAAAACTCCAGTAAAATTAGTCTTAACTTAGATGAATCCTTAAAACTTCATATATAAAGAGTGCAAAATACTTTATTTTTCAGTGTAGTTTGTATATTTTGTACCCATTTATACTTGGCTGTGCTCATACTGCATGCACTTAAGAAATCTAAATCTTTGACTCCAGAGGAGGATTGTGCTTTGTTTCTACAGGTTCACCACATTTCTCTGGTGTAGATGGGTGGCTGGCAATAGTGCATGAATCACAGTGCGCTTGAAGGGAGAGGTTTGGGTCACGAGCGTGAATAAAAAGGGTCAGAGTGAGAGTGCATGTGTCGGTGTTTGTGTGACGTTAGGGTGGATCTTCAGCTATAAATAAGCCTCTCTGACTGTTAACCTGATACCTTAACTCAACTAGGAGTCTGTGCACTGTGTACCTTCTTGTCAACAGCCAAAAAGATTGTGTAATATGTGCAATGTACATGTGCATATTATTCACACAACTGTTTAATTTTGGACAGATTACCTATGAAGCAGACTCAATGTGAGCTCACTATGTTTGTCTCCTGTGTTATTTGTCTGTACCTGTTTTTAATTTATGCTGCTGCCTGTCTTGGCCAGGTCACCCTTGAAAAAGAAATTCTTAATCCCTCTCCTGGTTGAAAAAAGGTTACAATAATAATAATAATAAACTATTCTTCGATTCTTTGTTTATTGCTAATGCTTTCCTGAACCGACGTAACTACAATTTATGCTAAATTAAAACATTATCCACATCAAGTATCAGGCTAAACACTGGATCATAGACCTTGCATCTATGCTTTTTAGCCAATTTTATTTTTCACAGACTGGACAATGCAGTATTAACCCCTACACATGTTTTCATTAAAGATGGTTTATGTAAAGCATTATTTTGTAGATACTGCTGCCTTTGGGCCTGAATCCAAGGGTCCCATCTGGAGCTCAGCAGTGATCCAGTGCCTGCTGACACACAAACACACTCCTCGATATGCATGAATACATACATACATGCACAAATGTGATATTAAAAAAAATATATAACGAGAAGTTAAAATGTAGTACAAGATTGGTATTTTTGCTTTTGCAGAAAAATGGTTGTCTTTAAGGGCTTCTGTGCATCCTGTTGTCGTCCGGTTAAATAGGGATTTGGCGACACGCAGTGTTACAAATGAGTATTTTCTTATTTTCTAAATCACTTTTTTTTTTTTTTTTTACTCCTCCACATCGACAGGTGGCAGCTGTGAGTTGATAGCTCACTATTAAGTTACCAAAACAAGTCTGACGGTCACAGAAGTACAGTAAATAGAGCGGATATATGCCAATTCATGTGTAAATAAACCACATATTTCACAAATATTACGTGAAATGTTATGAAATTAATCAGCGTAACACAACTTTGCTAAATAAGAGTCCACCACGCTTTCATGTCCCTGGTTTTGAAGCGAAGTTAACTTACATTTAGCTATCAAACGTTAGCTGTGAATATATTAGCGGTTAGCATTCTGCTGGTTTAGCAAACAATAATTAGCTGGAGGGGATTTGAGCTATATGATATCAAAGAGTATAATAAACCAAGGTGCGGAAAGAAAATAACGCAGTCAATCCTCGAAAAGATAAATAACTATTAAAATATTCAGCTACCTGTCCACCCGGTTCTCGGTGTTTCTAGTTGGTCTATTTCTACGCCAGAGGTCCTTCGCAGGCGCTGCGTTTGACTTGGACGAGTTAGCTTTTTGCTAACTCCGCGATGGACAATGTCCCCAGTTTTTGTTCGCCGGTGACTTCTGAAGAAAACGGGACAGAAACCTCCGACGGCTCCTCAGTAGAAGATGGCTTAGTCGACGCTTTCGGCGACCTGGCTGCCCTCCCGGTCGAGGTTGGCGAGAGAAGACCGACGTGTTTACGGTGCCGGTGAGCTCAATTAAAGTGAAGCTAATGCTAGCTAACACAAGTTAGAGTGGTTGGACTGTCTCTCTCTCCTCCTTCTCCTCCCTCTTCTTCTTCTTCTCCTCATCAAGTCACTGGCATGCTTTACTGGGGGGGCAGATTTATATCGTTACAGAAAAGCTCAAGCTCAACTGAGACAGTGAGATGAGGTTAGGCTGAGAAGTATCTGGGCAATCACAGTCTTCAACTTTCCTCCCATGCAGTCGCCCTCAGAAGGTGTGTCTCTGTCCGTTTCTTCCAACACAACCCCTGGAGGTCTCCACCTGTCTGCATGTAGTCCAGCATCCTGCAGAGGTGAGGTATTAAATGTAACATATGTATGTGTGAGTGTATCACATAGTGTTGTAGTCAAGACCGTCCAAACCGAGACCAAGACTTTTAGGGGCTGAGAGCAGTCGAGACCAAGACTTTTAGGGGCTGAGAGCAGTCGAGACCATGACCGAGGGAGGGCGAGACCCGAGTCAAGACCAAGACCAGTTCCCTGCATTACATGGCACGCAATAAAAATGTGGAACGAGATCATAGGTACTTCTCAAAGTGATCTGAAAGATCCACTTTCCCATTAAAACAGCCACATACAAACACTAAGAGCTGAAATCAACTTAAGCATCGCAGGGAGGGGTGACAGTCGTTAATCAGGGTTACTGGTTGCATTTGAAGCAATAAGTTTTACTTCCAGTCAAAGTTAGGATGTTAACAAATCAGACAATGCAAAAGCAATTTATTGATATTCCCAAAGTTACGGTTCTCGACTGGTCTTGAAATAAAATCCCGAGTCCTCAATGTACGAGACCAAGACCATCAAAAAGTGGTCTTAAGACCAAGACAGGTCTCAAGTACTACAACACTAGTATCACAATGTTGATGTCTCATTTAAAGGATAGGTCTAAAATGAAATGTAAAAGTTGTGGGTCACAAAACCTTTTTAAACTTTAGTCAGGTGCTCATATGTTGATTTACATTGACACAGGTTTTGCTTGCTGTTGTCAGTCCTCCTGGGCTTGCTGGCTCTTAAGAGATCCTTTCCAATATACACTGAACAAAATTATAAACGCAGCACTTTTGTTTTTGCCCCCATTCATCATGAACTGAACACTAAGATCTAAGACCTTCTCTATGTACACAAAAGGCCTATTTCTCTCAAACATTGTTTGCAAATCTGTGTTAGTGAGCACTTTTCCTTTGCCGAGATAATCCATCCACATCACAGGTGTGACATATCAAGAGGCTGATCAGACAGCATAGGTTTTGCACAGGTGTGCCTTAGACTGGCCACAATAAAAGGCTGGTCCTTGACTGGTCCTTTTACGTGGGCTAAAATAAGCTGTATGAGGTTTCAGCAGATAAAATCAAGTGGATGTCTTTTGAAGTTAGATTGTTTAAGTCCAAACTATCCTCTTTTGTGACTGTTTTTGCACAGTAAGATTGTGTTTTTTGTCCACCATCACTTACATTGGAACCACGTTCAGTCTGGCTCTTATAATCCAGTCCACATACAGGAGGACTGATTACAGCAAACAAGAACCAGTGTCAATGTAATGAGGTTTTGTCAGAGTTTAGAATCAGAGTCAGAAATAGCTTTATTGCCAAGTAGTATTTTAGACGTACAAATAATTTCCTGTGCATTACTCCGGATTTGTGTTGTCCAGACATATTACAGGGGGAGAGGATTTGATAAATATATAAATATAAACTTGATAGGTATGTAATCTCTGATGAATTCCACTTAAAATTACATCTATTTGAGATTAATTACAACTCAAAAGCTGTGTTTTTTGTACATTTAGTTTGTATCCAGAATAATTCCCGAAATCTTTTAATAATGACAACAACCTAGGGATGCTAACCTGCGGTGTGGAAACAGTCGACAACAAATCATCCGCATACAAACAGATCTTATGTTCAGAGTCCCCAATTATTATTCCTTTTTAATAATGCAATATTTATTTTATTTACTTTTGCAGGTAAATACAACCTTATTTCAGTCTCCGTTCAATGCACAACAATAAGGCCTCATTTCTTATTCTTTTGTTAGACTGGAAGCCACGTAGACCAATTTTACTATAATGTCTTGTGTTATTTGCATGGTTATTTATTTAAATAAATTGCATTCATGTTGTTTTTCTGGTTGAATAATGGCTTTGAGGCTCATGGTCACTCTTCTACTCTCTTGTGTACTTTCAGGAAAGCAGAGTACTTCGCACAGTGCCTCTACTTGCTGCTTGTTTGCCACAAGGAAAATGCAATGTCATAGTCGGAAGGAGATTCAATGAGGAAAAGTAAGCAGTAACTCTTGTTAGCACACATATTTCACAATATTGCATCATTGAGTCCTCAAAAACATTTTGTTTTTGTCTCAATCTTTTCTCCTCACAGGCACCCGGAGTTGGCTGCAGTATGTCAGGACAGCAGAACGTTGATCCTGTACCCAGGCCCCAACTCCCAGAACCTGGAGGAGTTAGTGCAATATCAGGAATTAGGCACTGTGAAACATAATGTGATCATCATAGACGGCACCTGGAGCCAGGCCAAAAACATGTTCCTCAAAAACAGCCTGTTCCACCTGCCTAAACAGGTGTGTATAACTGTGTGTTACGATTAAAAAAGGAGAAAAGGAACTAAAAGAAAAGTATAGATATTGTAGGCAAGATTTATGTGAAGATTTATGTGCTAAATCACAAGATCCCTGTCCACCTGAGACAGTATACATGCTCCCATTACATCCACTGGTGGAAAAGCTGCTATACCCACATGAAAGGTTTGCTTGAAAATCAAGGCAATAAAAAAGAAAATGTCTCATGAGCAAAGGAACATTGTGCACTTATCAGCATTTCTTCTGTTCCCTTTAATTTTCCTAGTTGTGTTTGGGGTGTTTTGGCTAAATACAAGCATAATAGTGCAGATGTCTCTTCAGTGGCTTTAATGTTGTTTTCTTGCAGCTATTTTAATTACATTAAAAATCTTTATCTGAAGTCGTCAACCTTAAAATTTCTGTCCTGGTTGAATTGGTGACTTCTGTGATCACAGGTGGGAATAATAAGGTGAGATTAACACAACAGGTCCCAGAGCTTTGGTTGGTACCAGCCACTCGTTTTTTTTGTCAGAAATACAGCAGAAGATCGACTGCTGTGTCTCTTTACGGTGCAGGTAAAGTAAATCAGTCAATAATAATTACAGTCCCAATCTGATTTCGTGCTGGTGTGAGTTGTTTTCCACACCTAGGGAATGATTTGATTACCTTGCTAAGAAGCTCAATTGCGGAGCTTAATCTAACTGTGGCTGCTCCTTCTTGTTCCATTACTCCCCGCAATATTTAAAAAGATTGCAGTCAGCATGAACCTCTGTGACAAATACATGGAGTTTCCTGTGACTGCTACACAATAAAAAACACCTTGTGTTTTGCCACTTGAACGCTTTTAATGTGAAGCAGCAGTAGGAAATGTTAGCATTGGCAGTAACTTAATACAGTTCGGATCCGACTGCAGTAAGACTGATCTGAAATTAAAAACAGTAAAGCCGTTTTACATGCACACCTTGTTCCCTCTGAATCCCTTGCATATATGAAGGCAATTGGAATCTATTACATAATGAGCAACAATGAAAACTGCTATATAGAGAAGTAATTACTGAATTGTTGAAACACAAATTCAGACAAATAGTATTTAAACATTGGGTTTAATTTCATGAAAATTGTAAACATTATAACTTTAATCCTTTTATATGTCAACATGATGATCACCTCTGCTTTGGTTCACCAGGTCCAGCTCAATAGGACTCTGTCCAGTCAGTATGTGATCCGCACACAACCCTCCAACATCTGTCTGTCCACGCTGGAATGTGCCGCTGTCGCCCTGTCCATCCTGGAGCAGAATGACAACATCCAAGAGGTGATGTGGTGAAATAATTACGACTATTGTAAATGAGAGTGTTGGCCAATTGGGTGCAGCAGAAGCATATTATGGCTTTTTAAAAGTAAATATGTCAAACTATTTATACATCCAGCAGTCATGAAGCAACACGGCTGTTCATTTAGAGTCGTGTTTCTGGTCACCTGTTACGTCTAGGGGTGTCAGAGCGCAACGTAAGGACGAGAAGCAGAGACCAGAACTGAATCCAAAAGTCAACACTTTATTGCTACACACAGAGAATGTTGTTTTACACAGCGAATAGTATTTACAGTAGTTAAAAAGCAGTAAAAGAGAGACTGCAGAGTGAACCGAGGGCCAAAACTACCCTATCTTCTCATTCCAGTTCTGACTAATCCCTAACAAAACAAAAAGACTGCCTAACTCCCAAAGCTAAACAAAAACCAGAGAAGACGGTGTTGAAGAAAATGGCGGTTCACCCCTATGCCTTTGTGCTAAACATAGAAAGACTCTGGAATACCTACAAAATGTACAAGTTAACTTTTGCGTTACGCTAGAGTTAACAACAGGCTGACACAGTTTGTTGAAGCAAAATGTACAACGCTAGTGCTAACAGAAAGCTAACACAGGCAATAGGTTGCCTACTTAACACTCAAATTTCACAGAATCTCACAAAGTTGATCCAAATTTGGAGGACAAGAAAGACCCTCTGTGACCCTTTCAAGAACCCGGAAGCTAGAAGAGTCTCTAGCTCGCTTGACACACCTCTGAAAAAGCTGTCCGAAAACGTGAGATCGGATTCCCCTGAATGAGAAACGCAGGAATTTCCTCTGCCTGGAGATACTGGGGAAATGAAATTAAGCGTCCATGAGGCACACACTCCTGCACATGCTTAATTGTGAACATGTAAAACGATCTCTTCATAATCAATTTGTTGAAAAGGGAGAATAATACTAGCAGCAAGTGGGGATTGAACACAGAACCCTTCGAACCATGCCATGTAATGACTTGAAAAAAATTTGGCCCAAGACCATAGAGACTTATTTGCCGACCCCTGCTGTAGGTCAACCAGTCCACGCTAAAACAGGCATCAAAAAAAGAGAGCTCTCAGTCTCCACAGTTTTATGCAACACATACAAAAATACAACATGCATATGACCAGGACCGTAACACCACCTGATGAATTTAAGTCCTTTTTGCTTTCTTTTTGGTCTCCCCCATCTCTTGAGGGGAAATATCTGGCTCTAGCTAGTTGCTAACTTTGTCTTTCTGCTGTTTTGTGCTGGACAGGTTGTGTACAGTGAGGTTGTCAGAGATTTTTCACTTAAAACAGCAAAAACAAAGGGGGCTGATGAGAGCCGTTAGACTGAACCAAAACAGTGGAGTCCCGAAAGCCCCTAAAATGCGCCCAGAGGCTAAGAGGAGTTGGGTGATAAATCTCTTTAGGTTCATTACCTTGAGCAACCCCGTTGACATACATTAAGAAATTTGACCATTGTTAATTATATCAGCTTTAAAATTACAAACAGACCAAAATTGCAAAATCACTAAAACCATATTACCAAAGTACGTATAGCACACGGAACAAACGGAGGCTGCAATGGACATTAAATACATTTGTTGTATCTTTCATCACTTTTCTCTTCCTTGTCTGTTTGTCCAGGTCCTGCTGAGGCCCCTGAAAGCCCTGTGCTCCTTCCAGCTGCAGCACGGCGCTCAGATTCATCACAGCAAGGAGCACCTCCTTAAGAATGGCATGTATGACAAGCCCATGCCCAAGAACAAACGCAAGATAAAGAGGATGGAGAAACTCGTCACGGACCACAACATCTGTCCAAGATGAGGGAGCAACTGGGCAGAGAAACCAGGCTCTACTCATCTCCGTATGCACAGCCGTCTACGCTGCACAGGACTGTATCATCAGGGCAGCTTGTAGCAGCATCGGGGCACAGACATGGAAACCAGTGGACTTAACGGGAATTTTATTTTCCTTTTTTTTTTTTTTTTCTTTAGATAACTGACGATATATGTAATTTATGTATTTGTCATTAATTGTAAATAAATTAATGACAAATTTAAGATGTAGTTTAAGTGTCATTGTGTGACAATAGATCAGGTTTAATTGTTTTTAAAACTGTTTAACTTGTTCCTCCCTGCACTTTATAAACACTGTGGTGCTTCTGTTGTGATGGCTAATGGAAGGGCTGATTCCACTGGTGTTTTTTCAATAAGTTAAATCTTTATTCAGATAAATTTCAAAATAAAAATACCTCCAAAACAAATGTGATATTCCATTAAACTTCCTGACACACAAGACAGGAGGAAAAATGTGAAACCGCCATTAAGAATTTTATTGTACTGTTTTTATAAGTCAGCATTGTTGATGTGAGGGACAATTTTGCTGTAATGATTTTAAATACTTGTCATTGTAGTTGTGGACCTACAGAATATGGTCCTCTATGCCGTAAATAACATCTCAAAAGATTTTTAATTAGGAGCTGCAAAAAATGTAGCCGTGTTATTATAACTCAAACTCATTAATTGTAGATGTAGGCATGTAAAGTGATTTTTAAATGTAGACATGATGTATTAATGGGGTCTCCCAAGCCGTTTAGTGACACTTTAGTTCAAAAGGATCAAATTTAATTAATAAGATGTACACGTTACGTCCCATACAGAATAATTAAACACTGTTTCAGCCTCTCAGCCTTCGTTGCTGTTTTGAAGTGCCTCCAAAGAAACTCTGGTTAGATTTTTCTTCTGTATAATATTCTCAGAAATGTTAAAATAATAGCAAGGGTTGTTTTTCTGTGTGTATATAAAATGTGTGTACCTGGATGCAGCAGTATGACCCTCAAATGGAATCAAATTTGTACTGCTTGTGCATATAATAATAAAATAGAATACTAATACCTGCAGTACAGATACCAGTTAAGTTACCAGTACAGCTGTAAAAATGCATGTTTTTGCAGGTTTTGCATGGTTCTTTGGCAGCGGATTAAATGCATTCTAGCAGTAAAAGAAAGTCACAGTTTCTAAGACAAATAAAGTAGCTGTAAACAGTTTTACACATCTAAGAGCATATATTTATCATCAATAAAATTAAGAATAAAATGATCATCCGTCCTGAGAACAAAATGCCAGGAGGGGAATAGACTAGACTGAAAAAAAAAAAACAAGTACACACAATGAATAAATAAAACAGGAGATTTATTTTGTATTTTAAGTGTTTAATTCAAATCAAAATGATTAAAAAACAAGCAAATTAATTAATTATAATTACAGCCAAGGAAATTTTTGAAACACTTGTGGATTTGTTTACATATTTGAAAAGGAGTGGGAAGAAGAAAAAAATATAATTAATCTCACCCCATGTCCACAAATCAAAAATGTTCTCAATTTATATATTTATGTAACTCCAAATCCTCTCCCTCTGTAATATGTTTGTACAACACAAACCCAGAGTAATGCAAATGTAAATATCTGCCACATATTTTTTTTCTCTACACAGTGCTATTATTCTTTTATAATTTGCATCTGTTTATTCCATATTTATATATTTTTACATTTATTTATGTCAACTGTATGTTTGCGTACGTGTAGCACCATATCACCATAGCAAATTCCTCCTACATGTAAAATACTACTTTACATTGAAGCTATGTCTGATTCTGTTTCTGATATAAATAATCTACTGCTGTCCAAACTGCTATTTTCTCATGCACTTTGTCATACCCAAAATCGATTCAAAATTTACATAATTTATTAACAAAAAAGAGAAAATAATTAGGATTAGTAACATGAAATAATAAAAACTGCAATAATAACGAAACTGAAATAACGAAATAAAGTGATTAAAATGAGCATCTATCTTTAGTTTAATCGCTCGCAAGTACCTTTCACATTCTTTATGGAAAACAAAACAAAAACTAACATTTATGTAATTTTCTGTTGACAGTGTTTTGTAATATGCCTTGAAGTTGCCTTTGGCTGAGCTAATACGCATGCGCGTTTCGGCCCCGGTCGCTCCGCCATCTTTGTCGGCTGCCCCATTGTTCACTCTGGAGCTAACAGCGGCGCTAAATCTGTTTATACTGCGCAATAAAATAACTTGACGGTGTCACAGGCAGCGGCCCGCGACAGTCGTGGATTTGCTCTCAGGGTTGCGACTTGTTCTCGGCCAGCAAGTTAAACAGAATGGACGATGACCTGCCCAAAACCCTGTAAGTGTGTGTCTGCGTTACCGTTAGCTAACTTGCAATCGTCACGTAGCTAACATTCAGTAGCGGCGTATTTTACAGGGCGCACTCCGTTTTAAAAACGTCCCTTTTTGTCTGTTGTGGAGAGACTGGATCTACGGCTCATTTAAAAATTGTATGTTAACAATTATATGTGGGTTCTGCGTGGGCTTTCGATAAAAACTAAACGCATCGTAATGACGTTAGGTAATGCTAGCTAGCTAATTCCAGAAAAATCTTAAATTAACGCGTCTGTTCGTTTGCGCTGCTCGTCAAGGCAAAACGGTGTTAAAAGTCAAATTATTGTTACAAAAAAACACCGTTTAGTGTATCTTGTGTATGCCGAATTAAATAATGACTTGCATATATTAGCCGCATGTATCAGAACATGCTCTAGACTGCGAGTAAGTCTGACGATGTGCAGGAAAACTGTGCAGTGGCAGCTTTTTTATGGAGTTTGGTCCATAACGTTACTCAGGCGGTTGTATCATTGTTGCACAGGCCTAGGGAGATATTTGTATTCATTGTTTTGTTACCAATAACCTCGTTAAGCGTTAACAAAGGCTATGACTGATGTTGATTTTGGTTATTTTTGTAACGTGGTAAGATTAACTTAATTCTATTTAAGGCCAGCAGCGTCGTAAGGACAAGGTCAGGACTCAGGAGCAGAGATTTCAATAATGTTGTTGTCCCTAGGTGCACTCTGTTGGACTGACGGTCTTCTTGTTAAATGTAGACTACAGAAGCATTTGCTATGAACGGCCTCGAGATGTCTTTATCTTGAGATTTTTGCATTTTTCTTGAACCCTGAAGGTTGACTTGAAATAGTTTTTTTTTAATAACAGCATCAGGTTTTATTATAGGAAGAGTTAAAGACAAAGAACGCGCTGAATTGCAACAGAAGTTGTGTAAAGATGGGTTTAAAATGATTTTATAGACGAATGTTACACAACTCAAAACAACTACAGGAAAGGGAAGCAACTTAGCTCAAATGTAATCAGGCAGATAAAACAATGCTGTTTAGAGGCTAACTTAGGTAAATATATGCAAAACACAACACACTTGGAAAATACTGTAGTCTTACCTTTCCAAACGTAAAGCAAAAAAGGTGATCACCCCTATACCTAGTGATCTAGACAGATAGACTGCACAGGCATGTGTGTAAACAAAAACAATCTTAAAAACTCCCCAGAGCTGCAGATTGAGTGTCTCAGGAACAAGTCACAGATTGAATAAAGTTTATGTCCCAGGCTGGATTTTCATATAACCATAGTAAGAATTGGAGGAAACGCTGGCCTGCTTGATCACCAGTTATGTCATAAATCACTGATTAGTACTTTTTTGTCTGTGTATCTGTATCCAGGTATGTGGGGAATCTGTCCCGGGACGTGACAGAGGCTCTCATCTTGGAGTTGTTTGGCCAGATTGGACCCTGCAAGAGCTGTAAAATGATAGTAGATGTGAGTCCATTTGTCATCTTCTTCTTTTTTTAAAAAACTGTATGTCTTGCCTGAGGAGGAGTTTTCATTACAACATGCCTCTTTGGCAGTAAAATCCAAAGACAGCTGTCGTACAACAGTGTTCCCTTCGAGAATTCATACATAAACACATTGCTTGCTGCTCCTTGAGATCTGATTTAGTTAGTTGCTCATCTCTTCTGACATTCATCCTGTTTATCCAAACTCTTTTTGCAGTGTCCAGTAGTATTGCATCCTCCCATTTTAATGCTGAATTATTACATTATATTTACAAAGACTTGCATAATGATGACATTGACTTAAAGACCAACTGAAATTGTATTTTTGTCCACTACAGCATACTGGATCTGTTCTGTAAATCTGTCTATGTTCTCCTTTTGTGGAAAAAAAATCAGAAACTAAAATTATTTGATGGTATAGCTGGTAAGCTGCTCCAATGCAGCACATTAAACACCATGTTAACATATCTGTATATGTCACTTCAGTCTAGTTTGATGCTACTGTGGTCCTTACTCTTCAGTATCACTAATATGCATAGACTGTATAAAGATATAAAAGAAGTGGACATAGTCACCGTGATGTCAGCCATTGGTTTGTGGACCACCGTTTTTGAAGCTGCGAGTTTTGGCCTTTGCCCTCCTGGAACCGGATGTGACCATATTTGGACGAGAGGGTGGGGTTAGCTAGCTTGGTTAGCAAGGTGCATGTGTAATTCATGTTAACTGTGATAATATCCAGGATATTAGGTTTGGCCAGCTAAAATCAGGCTAAAAACAAAATGTACTTACCAGAAAAATTAACACCTGACTCCGGATATGCTTTTTCAACGGTGCTGGTTAAATTTACACAGTGCCGTGGATATGAATAGCCTCTATCCTCATAGACATGTCACCGCGGTATCGACTTGTCCATCACAAGGTAGCCCTGACTCAAAGCATACCCTGCTTTATCGTCTATTTTACTCTAAATGGGACTATAATTTGTTAAATGAACATCGTGCTGTATTGAAGACTTGAAACTAACGACTGAGACATAAACTCATTAGGAAATTGTTTACTGAGGTAATAAATTTTACCATAGACTCAAATGCAGTCTAACTTCTTTTTGCAACAAGTGCAGACGCCCCTGCTGGCCATTAGAAAGAATGCAGGTTTAAGGCACTTCTGCACTGGTTTCACTTTTCAGACTCGGAGGTTTTCGCTTGCTAACATGTTGTTTTCCCATGACATGTAGGCTACAGTGCAAGTCTGTATACTTAGTCTCGTTCCCTCCTCTGTAACACAGACACTCTGGCAACCTGCCAGGTCCTGTCAATCGCACACAGACAACGACTCGCACCAAAAGGAACATTTCTGATATTTCCCCAGATACATTTTTTCTTTCTTTTATTATAGTAAAAAAAAACTAACAATATTTTAAAAAAATCTTTGACATATGTATCTATGAAAAGGGAGGGCTAAATGTGATTTCAGTTGGACTTTAATATTTGTGTTTCCTGTCCACTGCAGACAGCAGGTCACGATCCGTACTGCTTTGTGGAGTTCTATGAACATAGACATGCCACTGCCACAATTGCAGCCATGAATGGTCGGAAAATACTGGGTAAGGTAAGCTATCATATCTCCTGGGTGAGTCAACTAAGGCAAGGCTGGGGTGGGAAGGGTTGAAATAAAGCAGCTGGGGGAAAAACCCTCTTCTTGTATTTATCTTGTTGAACCTTATCTTACTGACCTGTTCCTGCTCCACTTCACTTAATTTGTTTTATTCCCATCTGAAATGAGCGGGGTGGGAACACTAGGCATTAATCTCTGTAACCTTACTGCTGTGGAGTATCAGAATCCTAAACACATGTCGTCTAAATACTCGCCATGTCAGCTTCTGCTTTTGTTTGCAGTTGTTTCCTGGTTTCTTGCTTTCTCATGGTATTAACACAAATCATTAGATAGTCCAGTAAGTTATTCTCAGGGATTCAAAACATGAAGAGTAATTAGTCATAAATTACTAGATTGTTATGGTGTATTATGTGTTTTTGTGCCTCACAGTGGAAGGTTTAGCAGGCAAAAAGTGAGTAAAAAGTGTTTCTGCCTTTTCATTCCTGTACAAAGAGAAAATAAAAGCACATTCAGTTGAAGGACAAGTTTCAGACTGATGCAGTTTATTAAATATTGACACCATTTATGTGATTTTAATTTAAACCCATGC